GAATGTTACTATGTAAGTGTATCTGTGTTGTGCAATGCCTGCAGAGGTCAGAAGAGGGCAGAAAATTTCCCTGGAACTGGAGTTACAGAAGATTGTTAGCTGCCATGTGGGTGCTGAGAATTGAACTGGGGTTCTCTGCAAGAGTGTGTTAACTGCTGAGCCATCTCTCCAGCCTAGTTTTTACCACCTTTGAAGGTGCAAACAGTAATTTTTTTTTTTTTGAGACAGGGTCTCCCTGTAGCCACAGCTGCCCTGAAACTTGCTATGAAGATCAGGCTGGCCTCAATCTCACAGAGATCCACCTGCCTCTGCTCCCAAGTGCTGGGATTAAAGGCATGTACCACCATGCCCAGCCTACAAATAATATTTTTTTAACTTTTAAAAATATTTTATTATTTTTATTTTATGTGTATGTGTGTATTACCTGCATGGAGATAAGTGCACCCGTGTCGTGCAATGCCCACGGAGGTCGGAAGAGGTTGTTGGATCCCCTGGGACTGGAGTTATGGACAGTTGTTAGCTGCCATGTAGGTGCTGGGATTCAAACCTGGGTCTTCTCCAAGAACAACCAGTGTTCTTAATCGCCGAGCCATCTCTCCAGCCTTGAATAGTATTTTTAAAATATATTTTATTTATTATTTTTATTTTATGTGTGTGAGTGTATTGCCTGCGTGTATGTGAGTACACCTGTGTCGTGCGGTGCCACAGAGGTTAAAAGAGGGCTTCAGATTCCCCTAGAACTGGAGTTAAGGACAGTTCGTAGCTGCCATGTGGGTGCTGGGATTCAAGCCGGGTCCTCTGCAAAAGCAGTCAGTGCTCTTAACCGCTGAGCCATCTCTCCAGCCCCACAAAGAATCTTTTTTAAATAGAATTTTCCTAATAACTTTTGGCTTCTTTTGTTTCATGCCAGGATTAAGCTTGCAATAAAAGGGGCAGAAATTCAAAAACTTCATGCAAATTTGACTGTGAATCAGTTGTCTCAGAATGTTGTAGCTTCTAATGAGAGCCAAGAAGGCAGCAAAGTAATTACCTTGGAAGCAGAACCTGTAAAACTAGGTGGTAGTCAAGCCGGTGAGTATATTATATAGAATACTTTAACAAATGATAATCAGTTTTCTCATATTTTTAAGAAACAGATTATTAATTTGTAGTGTCAAAAGCACTTAATCTCTTATTAATACTTATAGTTTAATGAGACAGCAAGAATTATTGCATAATTCTTGGACTTTGCATCATTAAAAATATATTATTGAAGGGGCTGGAGAGATGACTCGGTGCTTAAGAGCACTGACTGCTCTTGCAGAAGACCTGGTTTGAATCCTAGCATCCACATGGCATCTAACTGTCTGTAACTCCAGTTCCAGGGGATCAGATGCCCTCTTCCGTCTCCTATGTCACTGCAGGACACAGGTGCACTTACATATATACAGGCATAACACTTGTACACCTAAAAATAAATAAAAATTATTGAAATAAAATTTCATCCCATAAGATGTACCCATTTCAAATATGCAATTGATTTGTACAAGTTTATTTTAAATGTGTTTATATATACTTGTCACCATCACTATAACCAATACATGTAACATTTTTATAAAAATCTCTTGCAGTCCTTTAGTTTTCTTTTAGTCTTAATTTGTTGTTATTTTTTAGTGCTTGGGATTGAATCCAGGGCCTGACTTACTGCCATCCCTTTATCCACTTCTGTTAAAGTGAAAGCTCTTCTTTTCCAATATAAATATTTACTGGAATAAACTTTTCTTTAAGCAATACTTTGCATCCCACTATTTTTTGTGTTGTATTTTCATTTTTATTCAGTTCAAACAATCATATATCTTGTGATTTCTTTCTTGAATCGTAAGCTATATATGTTTTGTTTCCAAATATTCAAAGATTGAAAATATATCTTTTTATCATTAGTAATAGCCAGAGATATGATTTTATTATTATTTGCTTTTTTGATAGTAGTGATTTAACCCAAGGCTTCATTTATGCTAAGCATGTGATCTACCACTGAACTATATCCCTAGTTCTAATTTTTTTGGTTTGATTTTTTTTTTTTTATATGGTCTCACTCTCTAGGCCTGGCTGATCTTGAACTTGCTATGTAGACCAATCTGGCCTTGAACTCAAAGAGATCTGCCTACCTTGGCCTTCTACATGCTGGAATATAAAATTGTTATCTTTTCTTGTGCCACCACATCTAGCTCTAATTTTGTTTTTTAAGTGTTTTAAGGAGCTTGGGGAGATGGCTTAGTCAGGATAGTGCTTGCATTGCAAGTGTGAGGACCTGAATTCAGTCTCCAGCACTCATGTAAAAAGCTAGGCATGGTAGTGTGTATTTGTAATCCCAGCACTGAGAAGTGGAGACAAGTACATTCCTGGGGTTGGCTGCTCAGCCATCATTGCCTAATCAGGAGCTCTTGGTCCCAGTGAGAGATTGTGTCTCAGCAAGATGGACAGTTCTTGAGGAATGACACCCAAAGTTATTCTCTGACCTCCACATGCACATAAACATGCATACACATGCCTGCCTACACACGCACACACACACACACACACACACGCACTCACAGACAGAGACACAGACACACATATGTACACACACATTTTCTTTAAAGTTTTTGGAGTTACCAGAATGGCTCAGAGGTAGAGTTTAATCCTGATGACCTGAGTTCAATTCCTGGGACCCACATGGTAGAAATACAGAACTAACTCCTAATAATTGTCCTCTGACTTCAACATATGCGGTATAGCATTCACATTCCTTTTTTTCTAATACTTTTTGAGGCATGGTGTCCCTTTAGCACCAGCTGGTCTGCAACTTGCTACGTAGACCAGGCTGGACTCAGTCTCACAGGGATCTGCCTCCTGAGTGCTGTGATTAAAGGCGTGCTACCATGCCTGGTAATTTTTTCCCTTTTTTAAGATTTATTTTTATTTTTTAATTATATGTCCATATGAGAATATGTGCACATTATTGCAGTTGCCTGTGGAGGCCAGAAGAGGTCAAATCCCTTGAGACTGGCATTATAACTTTGTAAGCTGCCCAATGTGAGTGCTTGGCACCAATTCAGATCCTCTGTAAAAACAATGCCTGCTCTTAACTGCTGAGCCATCTCTCCAGCTCCCCCTTCTATCTTTAAATGTCATTCATATCAGGCTGATAGTTAAGTCTTCTTTATGCATAATGACTTTCTATGTATTTGTTCTATCAATTACTGGGGCATAGTATTGAAATCTTCAAGTCTATTTGATTGTTGGTTTATGGGTTCTTTTAGTTCTATCAGTCGTCTTCTAGTTTAAAGGTGCTATTTACATAAGCACTCTAAATTGCTTGTTGTTAAATAGACACTTTTTTTTTTTTTGGTCTTTTTGAGACAGACAGCTAGGGAGCTGTCCTGGAACTCACTATGTAGACCAGGATGGCCTTGAACTCACAGAGATCTGCCTGCCTCTGCCTCCCAAAAACTGGGACTAAAGGAGACCTTTCATAACAAGATCAAGTCTAAAAAAAGGAAAAGAAGGGGGCTGGAGAGATGGTTCAGCGGTTAAAAACACTGGCTGCTCTTGCATTAAATAGACACTTTTTTTTTTTTTGGTCTTTTTGAGACAGACAGCTAGGGAGCTGTCCTGGAACTCACTATGTAGACCAGGATGGCCTTGAACTCACAGAGATCTGCCTGCCTCTGCCTCCTGAGTGCTGGGATTAGAGTGCTGGGATTAAAGGTGTGTGCCACCATGCACAACTTAAATAGACACTTTTATGGAGTGTCTCTTGTAGCCCCAGGTAATATTCTTTATTTTAAGGCTGTTTTGTTTGAAATTAATATGGCCCTTCAAATATTTTTATTATTAGTTTTTGCCTGATATGATTTTCCCCCCATTCTTTGAACCTGTGTCTTTATAGCTAAAGAGAGTTTCTTATGTAAAGTGTGTAGTTGGGTACTGTTTTTATGTACAATCAGATATTTTGTATTTCTAATTAACATTTTACTGGAATGTTCAGATCATTTACATGTAGTGTAACTACTTCTTTGGGGGTTTAATCTACTAATGGGTTTATTTTCTGTTTAGTTCATCTTTCCTGCCTTCTTCTGGATCAAAAATATTTTAGCTGTTTTAGTTTATGGTGCTGGAATCAAATCCAGGGCCTTGCACATGGTAGAGAAATGCTTGTCTACTAAGCTGTATGCTTTTTCATTTCTTATCTAGATTCTTGATTAAGTATACATCTTAATTTCACTCTTTTAGTATTAGCCTTTGGGGTTAACAAATGGATCTTTGTCACAGTCTATCTGATAGAAAATCAACTGATTTAAGAATAGGGAAGAGAATGATGTGATTTGCAGAGGGAGTACAGTTATTAGAGATGGCAGTAAATGTGTCATAGATTCTTTGATGGCAGAGAAGAGAACCACTGACAAGACTGTAAGGAAGTGAAGTGTTCTATATGTGCAAAATTTCTGGGAAATGACTACTTAACCCAATTCTTGAAGAAAAAGTACAGTTTCCCTTGTTCTCACCTGTGTGTTCTGTAAGCACCTACATCATGCCTCTTTTAAAATATTTTATTTAAATTTATTTTATGTGTTTGAATGTATTGCCTGCATGTGTGTACAAATTGTACCCATGTCATACAGTGCCCGCAGAGGCCAGAAGAGGGCATTGGGTCCCCTGGAACTGGAATTGTGGATGACTGTTAGCCACATTAATCATTCCTCGTCCCAATTCCATTCCTATGCCTCCTGAACCCCATCTGCACTGGTCTCTTTTTCTCCTCTCAAGACACTGTTCTCCCTTCTTAGGATCCCCTTTCTAGTTTCATGAACTATAGGCTCATGCATGTACTCATATACATGTGCACACACATATTTATAATTTCAAACCTGGGTTCCACGTGTGAGAGAAAACACATAGTGTTTTTCTGAGTTTGGCTTATTTGACTTATTTCATTTAACATAATGATCTTTGTATCTAGTTTCCAGCAAATGACATAGTTCCATTCTTTGTTGAATAAAATTCTGTTTTGTGCAATAATAAACATGGATATTCAAATATCCATGTATGTTGATTTTGAGTTTCTTGGATATAGAGTGGGATAACTGGGTCATATGGTAATTTTAATTGATTGAAAAATCTCCAGGGCTGGCAAGATTGTTCAGTGGGTAGAGGTGCTTGCTACTGTGCCTAACCAATTGAATTCAATACCTTGAACCCACATGGTAGAAGGAAAGAAGCACAGTTTCCACAAGTTGTCCTCTGACCGCCACATGAATGCTGCGACACACACACACACACACACACACACACACACACACACACACACGTGTAATAAAATGAAAAAAAAAAAATTTGCCTTTTTGTGCCGGGGTCTCCTTGTAGCCCCAGTTATCCTAGAACTTGCCATGTAGACTAGGCTGGCCTCAATCTCACAGAGATTTACTTGCTTCTGCCTCCCAAGTGCTTGGATTAAAGGTGTGAGCCATCACCCTGGCACTTAAGAATATTTAAAAAATATTTTATTCTTTTATTCTTTTAATTTTATGTGTGTGAATGTATTGCCTGCGTGTGTGTGTGTGTGAGTGCACCTATGTTGTGCAATGCCTGCAGAGGTCAGAAGAGGGCATCGAATCCCGTGGAACTGGAGTTAAGGATGCTTGTTAGTCACCCTATGGGTGCTGGGAGTTGAACCCAGAACCGCTGCAAGAAGAGCCAGTGCTCTTAACTGCTGAGTCTTCTCTCCAGCACCTTAAAAGTATTTTTTTAAAGAGAAATACTTCCATTCTGATTTTCATAATGGCTGCACATTGTCATTTGTTTTCTTGATGTTACCTGTTCTACTGAAGTGGGATGGACTCTCCAGACAGTTTTAGTTTGCATTTTCCAATGGCTTAGGATGTTGGACTCTCATCTTTATTGGTCACTTGTATTTCTTCTTTAAGCAGTCTCTATTCAGTTCATTAGCCCATTTATTGGATGATTTGGTCTTTTGCTGTTTAGTTTTTACAGTTATTTAGCACCCTAGATATTAATCCCTTTTCTAATCTATAATTGGGGAGGATTGTTTTTCCAATTCTTTAGGCTGTCTCTTCACTCTAGTGATTGTTTCTTATACTGTGCAGAAGCTTTTTAATTTTGTGTAATTGAGATTATTACCTATGTTATTGGAGCCCTTTTCACTAAGTTCTTTGCTTATACCTATATCCTGAAATATTTTATCTGTGTTTTCCTCAAGCATTTCTTACTTTTAGGTCTTACATTAAGGTCTTTCTTCCATTTTTGAGTTGATTATTGTACCAGGTGAGAGATAGGGATCTAGTTTAATTTTTATACATTTAGAGACCCTGTTTTCCCTGAACATTTTCTTAAATATTCTTTTTTTCCAATGCATGTTTTTGACACCTTTGTCAAACTTAGGTGGCTATAACTGGTGGGCTTATTTCTGGGTCCTCCTTTTCATTGGTTTACATGCCTGTTTTTGTGCCAGTTCCATACTGGTTTTATGACTCTGTAATATAAGCTGAGATTAGGTATTGTGGACCCCTTTAGCATTGCTCTTTCCACTAAGGATTGATTGTCCTGGCTATTCAGGGTCATTTGGTGTCCACGTGAATTTTAAAATTGTTCTTCTAGTCTGTGAAGAATGTCATTGGGATTTTAATGGGTATTGTATTTAATCTATAGATTGGTTTCAGTACTAGGGCCATTTTCACAGTTATTTCTGCCAGTCTGTGAGCATGGAAGAGCTGTCTTATGTTGTTTTCTTCAGTTCTTTCTACAGTTTTCACTGTAGAGGTTTTTCACCACCTTAGTCAGGTTTATTCCTAGGGATTTTATTTTAAATATTGGATCATATTGTCTGCATATAGAGATAATTTGACTTATTTCTTCTCTATTTACATCCCTTTTACTTCTTTCTCTTGTCTTATTGCTCCAAGACTTTGAATACTATATTGAATAAGACTGAAGACAGCAGGCACCCTTGTCTTGTTCTAGGTTTTGGAGGAAATGGTCTCAGTTTTTCCCCATATAGAATAAAGTTGGGTGTAGGTTTGTTTGAATGTAGCTTTTATTATGTTGATGTATGTGCCCTCTATACTTAGTTTCTTTCAGGGCCTTGATTCGAAGGATGTTGAACTTTGTCAGAGGCCTTTCTGCATTAATTGAGATTATATGATTTTTGTTGTTGTTTGTTTATTGTTTTGAGACAGGGTCTCCCTATAGCCACAGCTGGCCTGGAACTTGCTATGTAGACCAGGCTGCCCTTGATCTCACAGAGATCTACCTGCTTCTGTCTCCAGAGTACTGGAATTAAAGGGGCACAACACCACACCTGGCTCGATTTCTGTTCTTAAATCTATTTGCACTTACCGATTTGTATATTCTTGAAATCAGAAACTAAACTTTATGATTAAAATTTTCACCTATTTAAGTTGATTCTTGAAATTTTATTTAGAGCATTTTTTTCTTTTGTATTCATTTTCAGAAAGTATGAAAGGTCGAAGTCAACATACTGTGAATATGCAGTATGAAAGAGAGAGGCAGAGACTTGCTGCTGGAGTAGAGGAACTGCGTGCAAAGCTCATACAGATAGAAGCCGAGAATTCTGACTTGAAGGTTAACATGGCTCACAGGACTAGTCAGTTTCAGCTGATCCAAGAGGAACTGCTAGAGAAAGCTTCAAACACTACCAAACTAGAAAGTGAAGTAAGTTTGTACTTAGTTGGGTATTTTGAGATAGAAAAGTGGTATTATGGGATTTTGTAACCATCGAAATCCAGATTTATAAAGTTTTGGAAAATGGTACCATATAAGGTTATAAATTCTTTTAAAATCATATTTGGAAGCATGTTTTAATTTATGTTAAAAGTAGGAAAAATGCAGTGACTAAAAGTTCTCAAATTTGGTGGAACTAATACAATATCAGGTAATATAGTAGTGCACATTCTTAGGTAGATAGTTTGGATTATGTTATTGGAAGAAAATGAGTCAGTAATAGAGGACTCAAATTTTAGCAAACATCAGAGCCACCTAGAAAACTGTCAACATGTAGATTTCCAAGTTTCTTTCTAGCAGTTGTGTTTTAGTAGGTATGACTCATAAGTCTGAATTCTTTAAACAATTATATATAAATCTGTTGCGAGTTACATTCTGAAAAGGGGATGATGCATGTTTTTACAAATATCTCATTATTTTCACTGAGGACAGGGTTAAGATGCTTCAGAAGGTAACTGTGAATCAGGACCACATGTGTATGTGTTACATTCAACCTTCAAATGAAAGACTGTAGTCCATAAGGACACTTTTTAAACATTGATTTTTATTTATTTATTTATTTATTTATTTATTTATTTATTTATTTATTTCCTCAGAATGTTTTGAGGTTGAGTTTCTCCCTTGGAGAATTTACATGGTGATGTGTCCATACTGTATCCTCTAGACATTTTCTGATACCGGAGGCTGACTGGGGTTGCCCACAGGATTCGAACCTGGGTCTTCTGCAAGAACAACCAGTGTTCTTAACCGCTGAGCCATCTCTCTAGCCCCTTAAACATTGATTTTATATCTTGAAGTCAATAGCCAACTCTAAGAAAAGAACTTGTGGGATATGAACTTAATGTTAATGATGGAAAAGGAAACAGTTTATAATTACAGCTACTGACTTACTAAAAAACTTGTGAAATACTGATAACTTTTCAAAAATTTCAAATATAACATAAATTTATTGAACATATTAAAAATACAGAGAGGGAGAAAGGAAAAATAAACCATTGATTATTATACCACCAGAAATAACTGCTATTAACATTTTATTATACCAAATTCAGTCTGTAACTACTTATAATTTTTTTTGCTTTATGTGTATGTATGTATTGCATACATGTGTGCAAGTGCACCCATGTGGTACAGTGCTCATGGAGGACAGAACAGGATGTCAGATTCCCCGGACCGGAATTGTATGGCTGTTAGCTGTCAAGTGAGTGCTGGGATTCAAACCCAAGTCTTCTGCAAGAACAGCCAGTGTTCTTAACCTCTGAGCCATTACTCCAGCCTTCAGTCTGTAATTACTTTTAAGAATTGAAATACAGGGGCTAGAAAGGTGGCTCAGTGGTTAAGAGCACTGAATGTTCTTGCCGAGGAACCCGGTTCCGTTCCCAGCACCCACATAGCGGCTAACAACTGTCCTTAACTCCAGTTCCAGGGGACCCGGTACCCTCTTCTGACCTCCACAGACATTGAACTACACGGGTGCACTTACATTCAGGCAATACACTCATACACATAAAATGAAAATAGTGAAGTTTTTAAAATGAATTACAGTGCCATTCAGATATATAAGACTCTGTCTTTGTTGTTGTTGTTGCTGTTTTGTTTTGGTCTTTTTGAGACTGGGTCTTCCTGTAGCCCCAGCTGGCCTGGTACTGCTATGTAGACCATATTGGCCTCTATCTCACAAAGATCCACTTGCCTTTGCCTCCCAAGTGCTGGAATTGAAGGTGTGTACCACCATGCCTGGCTGTTTTTTGGTTTTGACAATATTGGGAATTGACCCTAGGTCCTAGCACGTTAGAAAAGCATTTTACCACTGAGCTGTGTCCCCATCCCAGTTTTTAAGTACTTATAATTAAAAGATTATTCACTATATACTCTAAATACCTATTACTGTAAATTTTCTGAGTTTAGCTACAGTTATTTATGATTTGGAAAGAAAAGCACGTATTTGATTTTAAGATGCAAGCCATTACTTTTAAAGCTAATTGTGCATTTTTTCAATTTTTTTTTTTCAGATGACAAAGAAATGTTCTCAACTTTTAACTCTAGAGAAACAGCTGGAAGAAAAAATAGTTGCGTATTCATCTATTGCTGCAAAAAATGCAGAACTTGAACAGGAGCTTATGGTAAAATTTATATTTTTTAAATTTTTATATACTTTTTTTCGAGACAAGGTTTTGCTGTACATTCTAGACTACAGGTGTCTATCCCCATATCTGGCAAATTTACTTTTGTTCTAAATATGCTGTGACTTTAAGCATGTAAGTAGTGATGGCATATTTTGTTTTCACATCAGTCTTATAAAATATGCCATGTAGGAAAGTAGTCCTGATAAATTCTTTTGGGTATTCATTTTTTAAATTTATATTTTAAAACTATTAGGCTAATATGGTAGTTTGAATCTGTAAATCACTTTCAGTAATATAACCATTTTGTATTATTAATTATGCCAATCCATGAGCATGAAAGGTCTTTTTGTCTTACAGTATCTTCTTCAGTGTAAACTCAGGTCATCAGGCTTGGCAGCAAGTGCCCTTATGCATTGAGCCGTCTCAACCACCCATACTTGATTTATTGATTTGTGTATGTTAAACTATCCTCAAGTTCCTGGAATGAAGACCAGTTTGTTACTAATGATCTTTTTGACATGTAATTGAATTTGATTTGCAAGTATACTTTTTAGAGAATTTTTTGCATCCATGTTCATGAAGTTGGTTGGCCTGTAATTTTTTGTTGTTGTTCTGTTCTCATGGTTTTGGTGTCAGAGTAGTGCTGGCTGCATAGAATGAGTTTCATGGGGTTCCTTTCCTTTATATTTTGTGGAATATTTTAAGGAGCATTGGTATCAGCCATTCTTTTTTTAAATATTTTTTATTTTATGTGTATGAGTGTATTGCCTGCATGTATGTGAGTGCACCCATGTCTTGCAAAGCCGCGGAGGTCAGAAGAGGGCTTCGGATTCCCCTGGAACTGGAGCTAAGGACAGTTTGTAGCTGCATGTGGGCACTGGGAATTGAACCCAGGTCCTCTGCAAGAGCACTCAGTTCTCTTAACCGCTGAGCCATCTCTCCAGCCCCGGTATCAGCCATTCTTTAAAGGCTCGGTAGAATTCAGCAGTGAATTCATCCCATCCTGGGCTTTTCTTTCTTTGAAGACTATTACTGCTTCAATCTCATTACTTGATATGGTTCTGTTTATGCCACCACGCCCGGCTAAATTGTTTTTATCTTTGTTACTTAACTTTGGTTGGTCGTGTATCTACATTTATCTGTTTCTTTTAGATTTTCCAGTGTTTTGGAATATGAGTTTTGAAGGTTTTTTCCTCAATGATCCTCTAGATTTTACTGGAATCTTTTGTAATATTACCTTTTCATCTTTAATTTTATTAATTTGAGCTGTGTCTTTTTGTTTAATTGATTAGGGATTTGTCTATCCTGTCTTAATATTTTTAAATTTTTATTATTTTATGTATATGAGTGTATTGCCTACATGTATGTAAGTACACCCATGTTGTACAGTGGCTGTGGAGGTCAGAAGAGGGTATCAGATCTCTGGAACTGGAGTTACAGATAGTTGTTAGCAGCATGTGGGTGCTGAGAACTGAACCTGGGCCTTCTGCAAGAGCAGCCAGTGCTTTTAACTGCTGAGCCATCTCTCCAGCCCCCTTGGTTTTGGGTTGTTTGTTTGTTTGTTTTAAAGAACCAACTCTTTTATTGATTCTGTGTATTATTCTTTTAGTCTCTACTTCATTAATCTTTTTCTTGGTTTTTATGATTTTTTGCTGTCTACTGATTTGGGGTTTGGCTTGTTCTTGATATTTAAGACTTTGAGGTCCATCATAAGTATATTTATTTGCGATTGCTCTGAATTTTTACTATAAACACCATAATCTAACTTCTTGGTATTGCTTTAGTGGTATCCCAAAGTTTTGATAAGTTATACTCTTACTTTCAATTGATTCTAGGGCATCCTTAAATCTCCTCCCCGATTTCTACATGACCCAATGGTCATTCAAGAGTACATTGTTCAGTGTCCAATGTTTGTGTGGTTTCTGCGTTTGCTCATGCTGTTGGTCTTCGGCTATTTATTCTGCTATGATCTGACAACATACACGTAATTATTTTTATTCTTCTGTATTTGTTAGAACTTGTTCTGCCTAGAATGTGATTTCCTTTAGAGAAGGTTTGTTAGGCTGCTGAAATACTCTGTGTATTGCATATCTACTGGATGGAATATTCTATAGATCTGTTATGTCCATTTAATCTGTTGTGTAGTTTAACTCTGAAGTTTCTTTGTTGATTTTTAGTTGACATTACCTATTTAAAGGTGATAATGCAGGATTGAAGCCCCCCACTATTGTATGAGGACCTATCACACCTTTTATTCCTTTTAATGTTTGTTTTATGAAATTTGGTGCATATATATTTAGAGTTTGTTATATCTTCTTTGTGTATTTGGTGTATGTGTGTATGCAGGCATGCACATACACCCACGTGTGCATGTGTGAAGGCCAGAGAGTAACACTGGGTATCTATATCAGATAGTTTACCATACTTTTTTGAGCCAGGGTCTTTCATTGAACCTGGAGCTCACCATTTTCGTTAGAATGACCAGAGAACCTTCAGAATCCTCTTGTCTCTGCTCCACCAGCACTGGGGTTCTAGATGCATACTGTTTTGCCTGGCTTTTGCAATTTTATGTCTTGATGAATTGTTCTAATATATATATTTTTTGAATGTTCAAAAATATTTTATTTTCTGAAATACAATCTTGAGGAAATTAACAACTAATTAGAGCATACGATTCTAAAAGGAGAAGCGAGCTTGAGCATTTGCATGTCCATGACTTCGGTAAATGATACAGTGAAAAGGGCTTTGTAGACTATAGCTGCTTTAAAGAATAAATTTTAGAGATGCATTTAAAATTATTCTTTTTTGTTAATTATTTATTTAATAACCACATACTTAGAAGAAGCATTTCATTACAACAGCATTGACATATTCAATGACAATTTTCTGAGCTAAGATGCATCTTTTTCAGAATTGGCTGTAAATTTTTAGGTTTACAGTTGAATTATTACAGTTATACAATATTGTACTCAGTATAAACCCTATAAGACATAAAGTTAAATGAGGTTTTAACCTTTAAAAAAGATCTCCATTTCATTATTAAAATACACAGTTTCATACAGAAAAATTCATTTTCAATGCAATTGACATTAAGATGTTTGCACATGCATTTCTAATCTCTATATATCTGATTATTACTAGTGATACTTGGTTACTTTCTGAGCTCCCTGGCATCTGAGCATGGATATAAGTCATCAGGTAGAATTCAATGGTAATGTTTTCCACATCTACTAATTATTATTTTTTATCATTATTTTTTAATTTTTAATAACTACATGATTAGAAGAAGCATTTCACTACAGATTTAACATATTCAGTAACACACTTCAGAGCAAGAGTGCATCTCTCACAAGTGGGTGGAAGTTTCTAGGTTCACAGTTAATACAGTTACACAATATTGAACTCAGTATAAGCCCTGTAAGACATAATATTGAATGGGATTTAACCTTTGAGCAAGAGTACATCACTTTCACAAGTGGGTGAAAGTTTCCATGTTCACAGTTAAGTTAATACAGTTATACAATATTGAACTCAGTATAAGCCCTGTAAGACAAAATTGAATGAGTTTTTTAACCTTTAAAAAGATCTCCATTTCATTTTAAAATATACTATTTCTTACAGAAAGACTCATTGTTTTTGCTAATAACACAGAGATGTTGGTGAATGCGTCTCTAATCTGAATGTATCTGATTATTACTAGTCGAGGAGACTATTTTT